GTTTTATACTATCTAGTGAAAACTAATTACAACGACTGCATTTTATTATTTTCCGATATATTACTGACTTACATAACAAAATTTTTAAATTAATTGATATCTTGCACTTGTAACACTCGTGATTTTTATAATAATAGAGCTTCAGAAGCTTTCAGAAGAACACACAACTACAAAATCTGGACAGCTGGAAAAAATACTATTCTTTCTAGCTAAATATCATTTTACTAGTAATGCAAACTGTGTGAAAACTAATAAGCAATAATAAAAGAGACCTTGACATTTCTTTCAGCGGTCATCGGATGTGATCAAACTCATTTTAGTTTGTTTAATGCTTCATTCTGTATGACATCTTAAAACACTTGTTCCAGTGTTTTTTTTTTTTTGCATACACCTTTTGTCTGCCTTGTGTAAACTAAGAAGTGACTACGAATTTGGTTGATTTAATATTATATTGACTTAAGTAAAAAATATAGGATTGATGATTCAAATATATTTGCTCACTTACAGATCTAAATTTAAAAATAAACCCCACAATAAAAGTGCATAGATAAGAAACATCAAGTGATGATCCTCATGTTTGTTTTCAGAATCTAGAACGAACTAAGTAATGTTTGCACTGTTTTTAGGATATCATTTGCACAGACTTCAAATACGGAAGCCTTATCAAGTGGTTGCAACAGACTAAAAATAATTAAACCAGATTTGGAGATTACAAAATTTAAACCAGGTTTCGTATTATTTAGCAATTAAGGACGATGCAGTGTGAATCAGGCGAAGACACTCGATCCTATATATTGAATTGGTGTTTCTATTTACAGAAAATTAATTTCTCCGATGCATAACGAATGGGTTATGTATATGTAGGAGAACTCAGTATACTCAAGTGATGAAATTTATTGGTAAATCGAACCAAGAGAGTAGAAGAAAATAGAGACCGATAATATATTCTAAAGTCAAAGTTTATTTTGTTTGGACTTGATTTAATCTACTTGTTTGTTCGTCTGTATACAGTGATTTTAAAATAAGAAGAAGAGTAGGTAACATACAAGCGTGGCAAATAATCTGATCAAAAATTAAAGTTTTTGATATATATATTTGTAATATATAAATTTTACGTTGTATATCGCGTTTGGTGGCTCTATATGTATTAAAAATTAACCGGCATTCACAGCGTTCCGTGCTGTTGCTCTAAGCAAGTCCTGCCCGTGTCGTACATTTTTTTCAATTTATAATGATTTTTAATTTATATTTATAGCTTTGTTATAGCCCTTTTTTGTATTTTTATATTATTTTAATAAGATCCAAGCCTGATTTACTACTTGTCTGTCTTTCATACAGATATAATGCTACTTTAAATTTTTTCTAACGCGTTGGTAACGCAAACTATGGAAGTGGAAAATAAGTTTTTGGTTTTTATGAGAAACACAATGCTTCCTCGCGGTCACATAAATACAGTTAAAGCCACCTGTCTCATGTTTAGTAACAATTTACGAACATAATAGGAGTCATTATAATCAGAGCCAAATTGTATGATTAGCGTTAACCGGATAAAATATCATCATTAGTATGACAGCGAACGTTTGTTGATTTGCCCATAGAATTATATGTGATAGCTCTGGTTGATAGTATATTTATTAACACAAATGTTTGCAGATTTACCTAAATAATGGTCTGTAAAATTTAAATAAGTAACACTTTAACGGTTTAAAACCCGTTATATTTAAGTTAAACTGTGTTCTACTCGCGGAAACTAAAGGCCGTATCAAAAAGTTGTTTTTTTGTTATGCCTAAAACTATTTTAACCAGGTAGGCAATACTTTCAAACGTTGACGGAGCGTCGTTGGACCAAGTGCGCAATGTATGACTGAACTTCCCTTTTAATCACATCAATTTTAAAACATAAATTTTTCACATTTATTACAAAGGCTTAAATTTAAAATCAAAAATAAATTGATCCAAATCGTCGGGCCGAAAATTTTTAAATTTATTTTCGATTTAAAATCACATGCACATGTTTTTTTAAATAAGTTTAACTAATGCCTTGGGGTTCGCTTGATGGTGGGTGATATCCCCGCGTTTAGCATCTAAACTCGTTAAAGTGTTTATTTAGGCTTTGGATATTCGGAAATCTACCGACTAAAAGCGAAACGCGATTAAGCTTCACGCAGTTTCCATGTGTGACGGTGATTGTACCCGACGAAATTTATATTTTTCTACCACTCATACCGATGTTTCTCCAAAATATTATAAGAAATGTTGAGTAGTATAGACTACACATTTATCGTTATAAGTTAACATGTTTTTTATTTAAATAAAACACTTTAACGGTTTAAAACGCGATATATTAGTTACGACGACGTTTCGGACCTTTGCGCAGCCGTGGTCACGGGTGACGGGAGTTTTTTATTATTTGAACACACCGGGGGTTGGGGACTTCCGAAACGTCGGCAGCACCCGGTACGAAGTTAAAAAATCATTTATCAAATAAGTTTAACTAATATACAGCTTTTTTGGCCAAAGGTTAGTTCGTTAACAAAAATATATGTAAATTTTTTTGTTTAACATTTAAAGACTAATCTCTGATTAAGGCGATGTTTTTTTTACCAAAGTGTAGACAGTAGACATTACCTAAGACAGACAGCGACGTCTTAGAGGACACAGGATTTTAAGTTAAAACATATTTTTTACTGAGCTTAAAAATACAATCTCTTAATTGCAAATTTTTTACATAAAATGTATAACCTATTTTGAAAAGACTAATTGCTTCGAGCAATTCGCCCACAGGTTGTGTATCGCATAGGATGGGTTCAAGAACTGCGGGTTAGCAGCTTTCAATGACTACCACCACTAACCCATTGATGGTAACCGATACCGTCAGCTTCCTAATTCAAGCTCCGAGCTGGTATTGAATTTTTTTAAAGTTCCAGTTACCAAAGTAACAAATTAACATTTAAGAAATAGTGATTTGTAATAATAAAAACTACTACACCAAGGAGGTAGTCGTAAGAGCAAGTGGTGAATCAACGTTCCGGCATTTATATCACAATTGTTCGAAATTTAAATCCGTTAAATCGATGTATTATTTAAATACAAGACTTTTAACAGTTTAAAAATTTATTACTTATTTTTATTACTTAGAACGACTTATTTTAATCACGACCTGATGTTTCGGATGGTTTGCAGCAGCCATGATCAAGGGCGACGCCCGGTTACTCGTTAATTAGATGTCTATTCGCATAAACTATGATTATTTATTTCCATTTTAGCCCGTTGAATACAGAAAGCGATTAAAGCCCTATTATTCCGCTGAAAACACGAATGTGGTTTCTCCACAGCCAGTCTTGAACGAGCCCTCGCTTGTTTGCGATTGATTTGCGGTGTTCCTAATTGAAAGATAAACTTCCGAAGCCAAATTAGGCTATTCCAATCATTATCGAGCTCCAATGTACTTCGTAATAGCTGTTCTAATCTTTCATTACTGCGACACGTGAAATAACGAATGGGGACTTCAGTTGAAGGCTATTTGAGGGTAGTTGTTTTTTTCAATGTTATACTTTATAGTTTTAAACTGTGAATTCTATTAGTTTAATTTCCCGGTATCTGTGACTAGAATTCCCTCCTCTTCCTTTTTATTATAATGTATCAGTTAATCATATGCAAGAGTTTTGCCATTAGGTTACTAATACTACTAATTTTGTATAATTCCTATAGTTTTATTAATGTTGTATATGATATTAAAGCTATTTATTTATTCTGGTCAAGGAAAGAATTATTGAACATCGAATTAGAGTATTGTAAAATACTATATCATTAGGTTAGTTTAATTAAATAACTTATGCATATAAGTGAAAGAGAACCGGGATTAGGTAGTTGGGAGATTGGATTTGGCCTTCCTTCTTCAGATAGAGAAACTTAGGAATAGTCTCTTCATAATGAAAGTAGAAACTAGAACATGACTTGTGGGGTTACGGATGGGTGTCCTACCTTTAAATTTTAAATTTATCTAATTTCTTACCATTACATTCGGTTACCACCAACATTATGAGCCAACCAGTAATATGCATTTGCTAGATGCGTAATTCCTCAAACTTATTAATACGAGAGCAAATACACGAGATATTTATGGTGACTGTCAGTTTTTCATCAAAAAGCTTAAGTTTGTTTACATATCGAATTACCGACAGCGGTACAAGAGTAAACTGTGCTATCAGCGGGATGAAATAGTAAAGTAAATATATGTTTTGCATTTATTATTTGTACGGGTGTGAGTGACGTCACGCAATTAATTCCAACAGTAAACATATAGACTATTTCAAGAAGCACATTGTCGTAATGTGGAATTTTTAAAACGCAAATAGTGTGATTTATGTCTCTAAAATGGCAATATATGTTATATACAGCAAGTCAAAAAATGTTGCCTACCGTACAAACGGTTAAAGCTAATTAAAAATATCTAATATTGAATATACAAATTACCAATCAATGTCAAAGTATAAAAAGAATAAAAACTTATAATAACAATGATTAGTAAGTTTGTGTTAGTAATTATGTTTATATTGAATTATTGATAAGAGAATAAAATTGTTAAACTTAGAGCTTAAGGAAGACACCTACATAGAGATAAGACTCGACGCATCAATTACTAACTGTATATGCACATATGCAAGAAATTAATTCAAAACTTAATTCTGATTCTAACTTCATCGTCCGTAAGAGATGTTTTCTTTACACAAACGACCTTCTCGAACTCGTAACCTTTGCCGTATCATTGAAAATTAATTAATAATCATATCGCAATGTAAATAAACAACTAGGTGTCTTCAGATTCACATACATAGTTAATGAAAATATTTTCTCAATCAAACATCCTATAACAACGCTCGCTTCTTATAAAATGGATGTTATCGCCCGCTCATGTATCATTTCTTTTCATCTCGTTGTGTCGTACGAATCGACGCACAATTAAATAAATCGCTGAAAAAACTGAAACGTGTAGCAAGATGCAATCGCAACGTGAGCAACGTGGACACACGTATATGCAATGGATCGTGGCATCGATAGGTAAATAGCTCAAGGACATAGTCACAGCTTTTTTTAGATTACGACGCGGGAGTCGTGAAAAATTTCCTATAGTTTCAGTTGTATTTTACAAGTGTGTGGATTGTTTGGGAGCACAATGTTACTTTCGTGTGTTATTTCACCGTTTGGATCGCTGTTTATAACCTGGAATGATGTTTGTATTTTCACTTTTCAAGTTCTTGTTTTCACGTCGCTTTTACAAGTTACAGTTACGCAAATGTATACCTTAACATAAGTGCAAAAGAGCTAAATTCGCGTACCGTGCCCATTTCTTACTTTTCGCGTAATAAAAAGCTATATAAAAGTTATCAACATTTCCATAGAGATCTAGTGTATACGTATGCTAAACATAAATATTGCCACTGTAATGACGATATATACACTCGATTTAAGCTTTCCAAGATCAATGAACTCACTATTTTTCTCAAATGATATTGGGAAAGTCACGGTACAGACACACTAAATAATCTCGAAGGTATACTAAATGTCGCAATGCTCTTGCAAATGAAAGATTTACCAACCTTGACAAAAGAGTGGCCCAGATTTGATTTTTGTAATACGGACATAAGAATAAAATTCAATTTAACAAAGGTTAATATTGAGTTGCGTTTGCCGAAAACCGTAATTAATTCTCCAAGGTTAGTTCAACTATAATGAGATATATAATAGCCTAATTTGCTCAAAATTACAATGCCACAACGTAATAGGAGGTATTTGATATAACCTGTTGTGAGTTGTCAAAAAAGGCCAATTTAAAGCTTGATGTGAGTATGTACAGATAACAATATTGTCACCAAGAAAATTACTCAACATAACAAAGTCTGACAAACAAAAAAAGGATGAAAGCACTAATTTTTAAAGATGTTTAAATTTAGAATTCAAACGTTTTTGATATTACGTGCTTAAAAACTTAGAGATCAGTATAAAAGAAAAGTTTTGTCATCACTATTATTTTGGTAAAATTTAGATAACCCCACATATCACTCGATAAGCGAATAGCTCGTCTATCAAAATATTTGTAAGTGAGGGGGTCTTGATTGTCGCGTGAAGATAAAATCATTAATCTCATGAAGCGTTGAGTAAATAAAAATCTAAAAGAGGTTCTTTCATTGTATCACATTTAAAACGTTCATATAATTTCTCGATAGTAAAATTTGTACCCTTAAAAAAATAAATACCTAAATATTCAAATAAGTTTAACTAATATATCGCGTTTTAAATAGTTAAAGTGTTTTATTTCAATGTATACGTATTCGCGTATACGTATATACAGTATTAACATTAACGTTTAATATCTTTATTATAATTTCGTAGAATCGTATTTTATAATATTTCCTATTTTCTGTTTTAACACAATTACAAGCTTCGTGTTCTGATTCATAGAGCTGATAAATAATAAAACATGATATTGAATTCTGTCTCAGATTTCCAGAAGCGAGAATTCGGTGCAATTTAGGTCTCTTGAATTTTGAAAGTCCAAATTAGTCAATTCAATAGTGTTTATTCGGTTGTTTGATAATATATTTTAGTATTTCCGGCAGCTTCCAATCTATATGGGATAACATTAATATTATTTCTTAAATTCAGTACTAAGAACTTGATAAGTCTCTATACATATGTCTTATTATAGTTATAAATTAAAAAGCGTTTATACATATTTTAATTAATATAAGTTCTGACGATACTAACAAAAATAATATTAAGGGAGAAATTTATATTTCTATTCGGCTTACGATTTATACAGTAATGCAAGTTCTTCAAACATTTTTTTTAGCGAACTTATGTACTCTGGCATACGGCATGGACGTGGGATGGATTTCCCCAATGACAAAGATTCTTCAGTCCGATGCCTCTCCTCTAGGATTTCCCGTATCCGATGAAACTATGTCATGGGTGGCGAGCGTATTGTGCATAGCTGGTACCTTGGGGGTAGTCATATTTTCTTATCTAGCTGATAAAATTGGAAGAAAATGGACAATTGCAGCACTATTAATTCCACAAACGGTATTTATATATTTTTTACTAAAACAAGTTTCTGGTTAAATTTCACTCCATGTACAAATATTTCAATAAATACTTCGTTCCAGCTATCATTAAGTTTGAGATTGTTCTCTCCAACAATAGAAGCATTGATTATTGGCAGGATATTAGCTGGCATATCGGGTGGTGGATCGTTTATCGTTATCCCCATGTATGTGAAAGAGATTAGCCAAGAAAGTCTTACTGGAATACTTGTTTCTTTACAAATCTTATACCAAAATATTGGCATCCTAATTATATATATCATCGGAATATATTTGGATTACTATTCTACGCTATGGATCATATCTGCAGTCCCAGTCATTACTTTAGTACTTCTGCTAAAATCTCCGGAGTCACCCGCATTTTTGGTAAAGCAAGAAAAAATCGATGTAAGTGGGCAGAACAAAAATCTCGTTACTATATTGTGAATACCAATGTGTACATTACTTAATTGTTGTTATATTTTAGGAAGCGTACAAAGTAGTAGCTTGGTTAAGAGGTTTAGAATGCAACGACAAAAGAGTGGAAAATGAAATCGAGAGTATGCAACGACTAGATGCTGAATTTAGATCCATGCCAAACTTAAATCTATCAACTATATGTAAGATTATTTTATAATACATTTGAAAAACTGTCTCAAGCATTAGTTTATTAAGTGCCGACATAAGGATTATTATTTTTACAGTAAAAGACAACGCATGGCGCAAAGGAACTATCGTAGCTGTTATATTCTTCACAATTCAGTCTTTTAACGGAGGATTGTCAATAGTAACGTTCGGTGCATCGATTTTGGAAAGTACGGGTGTTGAATTCAATATAAACTCAGAGTACCAAGCACTTGGTTTCCCTACCATAATGATCATATCGTCTCTTCTACTGACGACTGTTGTAGAAAAATATGGAAGAAAGGTAATAGGTTTGATGTTTGAAAAGAATCAATTATAATAGGTTATATTTTATGACTATGATATGTTATAAAATACATATGATTTTCAGGTTCTATTGATGGGATCTTTTGCTGTATCAGCTATAGCATTGCTTTCGTTGGCAATCGCTTCTCTATCTGCTTCCTATGGAGGTAGCATACCTAACTGGTTGCCAATTGTATGTCTAATGTTATCTGTTGCAATGTTTTATGGCGTCATAGGTCCTGTAGCATACGTTGTTACTACCGAAATGTTCACTTTCCAGGTAAGAGTTTTTAAATATGGGTGAACTTTATCAGCTAATAGTTTGATACTTATATTTTATTACTTTATTGTTTCAGATTCGTGGTAAATTGATGGGAATCGTATGCTCGTATCTATGGATTGCATTTTTCATTCCCCTTGTCATTTATGCGCCAATCTCAACGGCGTTCGGTCAATGCGCTAACTTCTTCATCTTCGGAATTGTCAACGTTATTGGCGTCGTCTTCACGTTATTGTTCATTCCGGAAACGAAAGGCAGAACCGATGAGGAAATTCGGGTTGCGTTAGTAGGTCGACGAAAAGATGACGGATCTGTTTGAAACTAAGACATCGCGGAGGGTTAGGTGGAAGCTAGCTCATTAGGAACATTAAGAAAATCGGCTTTGTGATTCATGTGAAAGTGATATGTGCCATTTGGATAGTACAATAGCTGTGAACAATAAGAGGCAAAACGTGCAGTATTTAGAATCCTCTACTTCGTCGTGTTGCGTAGAGGGTACGCCCGTTACCATCTTGGTATATGAAAATGACTGACATTTTTGTGTTTTTATTTAAAATAATAAAGACTGAAACACACATTTCGTTTCTTTTATTCAAAATATTAATTGTAAAACGTGTCAAGTGTATTTATAGAAAACACATATACAAATAATATCTTATTCAATTATTAAATAATTCGTTGTATATTCAAGTGAATAATATCTTAATATTATGAAATTTAATAAATTTTGAGCGTTTCCTTGTTTTATGTAAATTATTTAGAAAGTTCTTGGAATTTACCACTTTTATAGCTTCGGCCGCGTCGTAAACTTGTGAAAGCCTCGCTCATGAAACTTTTTGACAGAAGTAATCTTACCCACTTTATTAATAGAATTAAGATTAATTCTAATCAGAGCTATCAACAGATTCATTATAATAGTGTTATAGATTTGCAAAACATATCCTTCGTTTGAATTACATTTATGTATATATTCTATGAATTATTGGCTTAATAAAGCGTCCACTGAGCATGAATATTTTTGTTTATTATTTCTAATCCTTTAATTAGTTCCGAAACAACACTTTTACTTAAAAATTATATTTGACTTTATCGTTACGCTAAACTAGTTAAAAAAGAGAACAACATACCAATCCTAGGCTGTGTTTCACGCCAAAAGCAAAGGATGTAAATAAAACACTTTGAGAGGTTAAAAACGCGAAATATATGTTAATAAATTGTGTAAGGCTTTCACGGCCATCGTTCAGCATATCATTGTCTCTCGAATAGTCCGAAAGACAATGATATATACTAAAGTTATTTAAAACTAGAACCGGACGTTTCGCAGCCGTAGTCAAAAAGACTAACGCTATCTTTTCCATTTTATTGAATTATCTAAAATTATTGATTTAAAAAAATATTAGCGTTTATCACAATATATTGTTAAATTACCACTAAACTATATCAAAAACGAATTATATTTCTAATATATTAGTTGAACCAGCGATGTCATTCACGTAGAATAATAATTTTGGGCGTCTTTTGAACACATTTTTGTGGTCAAAAGACGATGAGGAGGTAATTTATAGCGGTTTTCCACGACGTCTCGTTGTTTTTGCAAGTTAATCTTAAAAGATATACATACACTATTGTGGACATTTTTTTTTGATAATTTAAAGATTTATCTATCAATCTTTCATACATATTTTTTGGGTATCTGGAATCGTTTTCGCAGCGCACACAACGGATGCCCTAAAATTAAATATTTTTCCCCTTTTTTCCATTTCCCTCTGTTTCTTCGCCCATATTGATCACGGCCTAGTTTTTAATAGCGTAAAGTTACTTGATAAATAGTCTAACCAATCCAGATTAGCGCGTTCAAACAAACAGCTTGAGCTTCAAAATATTAGTATAGATATTGTTAGGTTACTACTAAACTATATTCTATTTCTAATATAAACAAATATATCCCCTTGTCTATATGAAACGAGATCAAATGCCTATCCAGGTCGGGCCAGGACACCTCCCCGAGTTAATGAGATGAAAAATTATGATCGCTCGCCTGTGCAAGCTTCTCGCATCCCTTGTTTTACTTTGCTCGTTCGTGCGTTACTTAAGCCCTGCATCTCTATATTAAAAGCAATATACTTTGCGCTATTTTTATAATTGTCTCGGTAAGTGCGCACTCTTTTACGCTAAATGCGTCTCGAACCTATATATTTGAAATGTTAATAGCAGTAAACAACTAGTGGTGATCACGAGTGAATTTTCAGCGCGTTTAAATTTATTTTTTTCTGGGCTAATCGAATCGTAAAGGCATTCCTTACGACAATACTGTATATTATAGCTAAATTGTATATATGTATTTGTTTTTTTTTGGGATAATTTTAAATGCATATAACCAACTAAGAACGAATAGATAATAATATATTTCATGTGATTGAATGAATGCGCACGAATGAAATATATATATAAAAAAAATCTATTTAGATTTAAAAAAAATTACAGCACAAGTCTTGAAGCGGCATCCTCAGCATTCCATGTTGCTGCTCCTAGGTCCTAGGTCACAGCAGCCGCAGGTTCCATTCCCGCCAATGACGTTCCTTATTTATTTTATATAGATTTCTTTATATATGTGAAAAATATTGTTTTGAATTGTTGAAAACGCCGACCTGTACGAAACTATCCGTCAAAGTAGCAACAGTACGTTACGCTGCTTGTAAATAATTATTAAATATGAACATATTTTGTAATAACCCATATATTATTAGAGGAAATTCCTACAAGTTTTTTCATTTCGTTTATTTGAGATTTTTCTCAGAGAGAAGGTTGACTTGTCTCTGTATCCAAAACATAAAAAGTACATAAACATATCCCTGTCCTAATAAAATTATTTACATATATTACGGTTATAATAAAAGGTAGGATATATTAGTTTCACCTTGGGTGAGATGTTTGGCGTGACGTGAAAATAAGAAAATGGTCAAGGTAAAATATAAGTCCACCGGAAAATATACTATTTGGGCAGTGTTTTATCTATGAAATAACATGTAAATATTTTTTGGCATTGTTCATAAGTCGTAAAGCGGTAATGCTATTTTAAATAAATCCTTACGCTTTAAAATAAATGATGTTTACGTATACAATTGTATAATAATAGCTGGTAATGATAAGAACTATTAATATATATATATATGTATGTATATATAAAATAATTAAATTTTAATTTATCTCTGCTATTATTTTTTAGTAAGGTTTTAGGATGCCCCATTTCACATGGAAAGAGACCTTTATATTTCGTAATCTCAGGAAATATTGGAATTAAAAAAATAACATTTTTTGTTCGCTAGACATAGACAAATAGCATTTATCGACGGTGGTTTTAGGCTATAAAACATCAGGTTTCATCCAATACAAGCAACAGAGGGAAATGTGGTAAAACGGAGAAAGCTAAGATATTCTTTTTTTATTTGTTTATGTATTTAATAAATAATAATAAAACTCTATAAAGTATGTTATCGCAAATTAAGGATAATTATCGCGATAGTGTGTATTTGTATAACAGAAACTACCAATAAATTGTGTAAGGCTTTCACGGCCATCGTTCAGCATATTATTGTCTTTCGGGCTGTTCGGCGGACGTGAGTGAGAAGAGGTTCTCGACGTTTCACCATCACGTGTGGACGGTATCATCAGGAGATGTTAACTCCTCGATTGCTCGAAGAATTAATAACCAATTTGCAATCAAATTATTTACTTATTTATTATAGTCAGCGTCCCTATTTGTTGCAAATAATCCTTAGCCCTATTCTATATACAAACTAACATAATAAACTAACAAACAATTAAATAATATAAAGAATAAAGTAAAATTTATCTTACCTAACAGTAACAGTAAGTTAATAAATAAATAGCTACTGAATCACTAGATGGAACAACATTGAAGCATATTTTATTTTTCTTGCATTATTTAGTCTTTTATACTTTGTTAGTTGTATTACGAAGGATTACAAGTGTTGGTTCAACCAACTTCTAACAACAAATATCGTTGTTTTATCAACTGAATTACCTATAGAGTTTGTCGTTGGTTCGACTCTTGCCTGTGTAGCAAGCAAAGCAAAGCCTCAGGCAAATGGCTAGGCAGCGCTAACTGTATCTTTACACGAACCATTTGTCTTCACTTTGACCCTTCTCTAACTTTAAACCTATTTAATAGACACATGCAACTACGCGTGTTTAATCGTAGCCATAAGGACACCTAAAAGCAAAATTAGGCGTTGTTTTACGGCGAAAAGTGAGAGCGCGTTTCCCCTTCGTGGGGCATGGGGCGAACACATTTCTGTGTCCGTTTCACTGATACGTTCTTTAAACGGGTAAGTAGGTGAAAAGTAGTAAGTAGTAGAAACAATTTTATGTTTCCCTGGTATTCGAACCCAGGACCTCTCGCGCTTAACGCAATGCTAGGCTAGGCATTTGGCTACAGAGGCGGTGTGATGGTGAAGCCAAGCATAATTTTTGTATGAAACTTGGCTTTCCCTTTTTTCATTTATGTTTTTATTGGAATCACGAATTCGAGTATTCGTGATTCCAATAAAAACAGTTTAGCTCACTTTAAAATTTTAACACTTCACATGATTTTCTTGTATATCCGAAGCTGCGCCAGAATATCGTTCGCATTCAATATCCGTAATCAATTTTCAAGTAGTTATGTATGAGCTGGGTTCACGTAGTTGCGTCCATACGTGTATTTCACTACTAACTGCAAACTATATCGGGGCATAGGCAAGTTTATTGAAGGTACTATCGACAAATTAATTTTAGTTTCCGAGTTGGCAAGCTTGTTGTTTAATAATGCAGGTATGATCCAGCTCGTTGTTGCTAGATTTAGCTATAAAGCTATCTGTTCTACAATTATTAAAAAAACACGAGAAGAACCGAACCTAAGACCTGAGGTAAGGAGTTCGATTACAGTTCAATATTTTACTGCAATCCTCAGTTTTTAAAGTTTGTCCTTGTTTAAATACTGTCTATAGTTTACGCGAGTGGTACACATTTAAATAAAACAATTTAAAGGTAAAAAACTCGATATATTAGTTAAACTTATTTGAAAATGATTTTAACTTCGCCCCGCAGTAGCAGCCGTGGTCACGGGGAGACATCCGAAACGTCGGCAGAAGTTAAAAATCATTTTCAAATAAGTTTAACTAATATATCGCGTTTTAAACCGTTCAAGTGTTTGTTTAATTGTCCTTGTTTGTCTACCATTTTTATGCGTATTTATGACGTAGACGCGAAATAGTTACCTATGTTTATTAACTTAAATAGTCTTAAGTAACTTTTAAG